GGCCTCCCGCCCTTTCGCCCTCTCACTGCCTGCCCCCTTGCCCTTCGCCCTGCCTGTCCTTCACCACCATCTCTCACCCCTCTGCCCTGCCTGCCACTCTGGCCTCTTGTCTCCTGGCCAGCACCCACCACCAACAGGCAGCCCAAGCACGAGGAGAGTTGGGGGGAGAGCAGGAATAAGGGAGGAGCAGGGGGAGAGAGCAGGGGAGAGGGGAGAGCAGGAGGGGGTGAAGAGGAGGACAGCGGCCCATGCACATTGAGCAGGACAGCGACGACACGAGCAGGGTGGCGACAGGAGCAGGTGACGACACGAGTAGGGTGGTGACACGAGCAGGCGGCGACAGGAGTACGGCCGTGGCGGCAGGTGGTCCGTGCACAACAGGGATGACCGGGTAGCCCCAGAGCAGAAACAATGTGCTATGACATGTCGTTTCTGCTCGTTTTCTGTTTATTTCACAGCAGGTGGCTGGTAGAGCCACCTGCACCATGTATATATTTTATTTCAATTTAATATGTTTTTTTCGTAATTTTTTTCGTGTGTTATAAGATACCGCCGAGCTCACTGGACGTCGTGACAGACGACGGCGAGAGCAGTATAGTGGATATGTCATTGTCATTACATGATAATCTAAAAATAGCTATGGGCCCAAAAAAAGGCCGTGTCATCCAAATGCACCTGGGCCAATCCACCCATTCCCGCCCCCCGACAATGGGGGAGATGGTGCACAATGACATAATATGTTTCCTCGTTGTTGGCAGCTTTTCCCCATCGAAAACGGGGGCAGGAACACCGAAAACGACGAGGAACAATGCTCGGGCATTGTTTCCTGCGTTGTTTGCTCATGTTGACAGGTCCCGCCCACAGCACTGAGCCCCGGCATGCACGGCAACGGCCTCTCCGTGGGTGGACTGTTTAATCACAGTCCTGACATGTGAGTATACCCTGCTTAAATACAGTATCTGATATATTTACCTGGCTTATAGAAGTGACCATAAAGGGATTTGAGGAGGCGCCACACAGTGCTGGTTATGGAGGGGATGTAACCATCAGGGCAGCGCATGAAAATGAGATGTGATAGGTCACCCCAGAGGAAAGCACAGGTGGCATCAAAGCACTCGAGGTCCCACCCCAGTAGCACAGAGTAAACGGCCACGAACCTGATGCTGACAACTTTGGCAACTGGGGCAAAGGTGGAGTCATAGTCGACAAATGGAACCTGGGAGAATCCCTGAGCAACACAGAGCCGTCCCCCCCACCTGACCTT